ACTAATCGGTCCAGAAAGATGCTCCCTGAGAAAGGTTTTCTTGATCACAGATTTTAAGAAATACCTCAAACTATGTCTGGGTACTGGAGCTGTGCAGCGGAAGTGAGCATATTACAGACGTGGAGAGCGCTGAGGACACTGAGGAAACTTGCATGGCCCTGTGGTTCCCAAACCGGACGACAGAATTCTTACTTTCCTTGAACGTAACACACTTTGGAAAAAGCTACATTACCGCTCATCCTTTTCCAAAAATAAGGCATTGCAGAACAAAAATCATTAGGCACATTTTCTCTTGCTAATGTGATATTAGTATTTAAGACAATAAATGCGACTGATGCATTACTGGCAGCACGGAGTAGCCTGCGCCAACTCACCCGCGCCCCCACCTACACAGGGAAAGCAGCAGAGACAAGTGGACTGTGACCGTCCCTGGGAAGCACAGGAAAATGTGAATTTCTGTACCTGGTATCCCAGATCTGCGCAGGCCTATACTCCTGATCTGTGTATCAGGGAATGAGGATTGGTATTATCTAAATGATAAGAATGAATACAAACAAGAAAATAATATGCATGGCCAAACACCAGTCCATTCCATCTCTAGTTATGAAATAGGGGATGCAATGGAGAAAATGCTAGGGTAAAAGTCAGTGGAAACAAGGGAATGTTGTAGTGTTTTAAATAATGATACATTTAGTTGTAACTAAGTCCATTGTGAAATATCAGCAGAGAATTTTAATGACTTTTTCTAATACATGTAAGTCTTCTTCAAGCGATTAGGTCATAAGAAATGATATGTAAATGTAGGAAATTAACTTTAAAAAACTGAATGGCTGAGAGTGTTTGCAGCGCTGACTTAAACTGCTAACTCAGTCAGTGATAAGAGCACAGTGCGTCACAACCCCAAGAAAGCCTCTCACGCTAGGCGTTCTCGGACCGCAGCAGCTGTGCGGTTGGTAGGAGGACGGTGGTGGAGAGGAGGAGCCGGCAGAGGCAGGCTCAGGGAAATCACCCAGGTGCGGATTTGACTCCCTGCAGGCCAGGAGTTAAGGATTCAAAGCCAGTATTCAAATAAATAAGGAAACACTATGTTTGAGGCAGGATGGGGCAGAACAGAGAGGAGCAGCTGGCAAAGGATTTGATCAGGCATATGGACCATGGTGGCAACCATCTTCATCCAAAAAACGATACAATCGCCTTGACTTTGATGAAGGAAACTCGGGTCTCTAAATTAGTGGACACCATTGAATAAATAATTCCCCCCTGAAAATGCCTACATAGTGATAAACACAAACTATTGAAAGGTATTTTGATATGAGGACATTAAATAGGTGTCCAGGCCCCCTAACTACTTAAATAACTGTGTCCTGAATTGTACATGAGTAAGGCGTGAAATTCAACCTTATACTTCAGAAAAATCACAAATGGTTACATTATGAGAGTTCGGGGTCTGTCCCAAACAGTTGAAACCATAAATGTTACACCTGCAGAAGCTAACATTCAGCAGTGTTTGAGACAATGAGCTTGGCGCCTAGCTCAAACAAAAACCCATTCATCCTTCGTGGGTACAAAGAGAAGAGCCCCATCGTCTTCCAAAACTGTCTTTCTAATGGTGAGGAATAAGCCATTTCAGATTCCACACCTGTGAAGTCTGTGTTTCAATCTGTATCTTCCCCTCCCTCCTCCGAATCCTTCGCTAATGCGGCACCTTCTTGTCCAGCTACCAGCCCTTTCCTGGTGACCCAGAGTGTGACGGGAGAAGAGTCCCGGCCAGCTCCAGCGGGTGGTCCTGACCCGCCCAGACCGGTCTCGGGGGTCACGTCCCCCTTGTTAGTGACTGGTGCGGGTGTGGATAGGTAACAGCATGGAACCCTTCTGGTCAATAAGGCGCAGGGGAAAGTTTCCCGAGGGCATTCTAGAGAAGGTGTCCCCGCTCACAGCAGCCAACAGGATGATGCCAACACAGAGACCAGAGCCCTACGGCCACACAGCAACAGAGGCAGATTCCTGGCCTGGTGCTCTGGGAGCTGCCTGCCGGCTGCACTCCTTGGCAGAGAAGAAAATACACTTCTGTAGCTTGGGTGAATTTAATTTAGGGGTTTTCCATTAGTCCCAGGCACCTTGATACACCAGGTTTTTGTTTTTCTTTTCCTTTTTTTTTCTTGAAAAATATACTCATGTAGGAAAGAACGGCATTCACCCACAGAAACTCGAACATGACAGGTTGATGTAAAATGGAAAGTAAGTCGTCCCTGGCCTTCCGGTCCTGCTGGCCAGAAAGGGTCATGTGACCAGTGTCTGCTAGCACTTCTGGCGGCTGTCACTGAAATTGAAGATGATGTTTAAGCCACTGGTCTTTGATTTACCCACATGAGAGAGAATAAACTGATCACCCACCATGGAAGACGGCAGCCTTCTCCTCCCCTTGCTTCTTTTGTTTCCCAGTACACATTACGTAATTATCCTAGAAATGTATGTAAATCTTTTGTGAGCCGTCTATAGATCAAAAAACGTTGTAACACAATTATAGGAACAACTCCATTGTAAACAGAGCATTTAGATCCATGAAGGAAACAAAATCTTTCTTGTTTTCCAAGTGAGACATTCCCAGGCGCCACATCCTAATGAATGCCCTCTATTTCTTCCTGGGTTTCTTCCTTCCTTGGCCAGGTGCACGCTCAGCTGGGCCAGGCTGGGCTCCCAGGTGGGACCCTTTCTTGTACATTGCAATTCAGAGTGAAACCACTCCTTTTTTCCCCATAAAGGATATACATGGATGGTAAGCTTGTTTGCATTTTTAAAATGCCTGTATTTTGGTCTGACCGATGAATAATTTATCTGGTCACAAAGTCCTAAGTTCAGAAGCATGTTTCCCTCAGACCTTCAAAGACATTGGCCGGGTCACTCTGGTTCCAGGTGATTCTTTGTCAGAGGTCTGATGAACTAACTCTTGCCCCTTTGTGGGGGATGCCTTTCCTCTCCACCTCCCCCCAACACTGCTCATGTCCGTGCAACCCTCCCCAGCAACCCTGCACAGCTTTTCTGCGCTTGGGGTCCTCTTCTCCCCCTCCCCCGCCCCTCCCCCTTTTCCAGTTTACAATGAGGTACGGTTGGGGGTGGAAGAGGAAGAATCCCGAATTCTCCCACACGATGAGGCCATCTTACCAGCGCTTGCCAGAAACTTCACCATAAAGTTTACATTAGGAATAAAGTATTTTACTTGTGCATATGTGTAAAAATAATTCCTGAAAGCTGTAATAGTGTGTTCACATATATTAATTTTTTGATGTTCCATTGACTCTTACTTTGCAGATGCAGCCAAAGGGTATTCACCAAGAAAAATATGTATAGCAGGTGTGTGTGTGTGTGATTCTGTTCTCTCTCACTGACTAGAAATACCTTAATTCACTCCTCAACTGTCAAAACTGATGACCCCACCAGCTAATACTGGTCTGATTAGTAAAAGGATGGAACTCAAAAGATGATGTGCTCTTTACCCTAATAGTCACATTTTTATTCTTCTGTCCTCAAATACTATCTTGTTTTAAAAATACCATTTAGCAATCCTAATCACTAATTTTTTTTCTTAGGAGAATAAAGTTTTTCATTTACATTACAGTGTCGTCACTTGCTTAGAGACAGGTTTTACAGGTGTAAAATAGTCCTTAAAAAACACTGTCATTTAAATAATGAGAGCAGTTATCAAAAGGAAAGCATGTTGATAACACATTGGCTGGACCAAATAAAATCGTAATGGGTGGGTGTGGTCTGACAGGATAACCCCTCCCAGGCCATAGTACATGCCAACAGCGAGGCGGCGGCGGGGAGGGGGGCAACGAGAACCCCAGATACAAATGCACTCGTCCTCCTTCTCCACTGCGTTGCTGCCCAAGTCCTAGAGATTAGATTTTTTTTATTCTTTCCCTCAGGCCAGTATTTACCAGACTTTTACTTTTGCACGCTTGGATATATATGGCTAAGGTTACTAAGTGACAATGGTTCCCTAGTCCTGTAAACTTGGCCACAATACTTGGTATCTTTACTGCAGATTCAAAATACAGATCAGCAGACTGGAAGCTCAAAGCAGCCCATTCGAACAGTATTCTGGGACCCTGATTTCCAACATGTGTTCGGGGGGAGAAGGTTTCTTCCCCCCACTACCAAGCCATGCTCCAGACACCCTCACTTCGGACACTGTCTCCCCAGAGAGCAGCGGACCCCACTGGGTCCGGGCTCCGTCCCACAGGCCCGCCCTCTGCTTCAGATGCCAACTGCAATCCCAGCTGTTACGTGTGTGGAGACCAGCTGACTGCAGATTGGAGGTTCCGAGGATTGCTTCCTCAAAGAGCCAAAGAGAGGTTTAAAAAAAGAGGGAGGGCGTCAAATAAATGTTCAAAATGGAAAAAACAAGAAGATAACCAGATAAGCAGGCCCTAGAGAAAAATGCTCCCAACACAAAAATAATCCTTCCGAGTTAATCCGGATTTGAAAAGGGGCTTTCCCTCTTCATTTCTTTTGTTTGACAGACTACAGGTAATCCTCAGACCAAAATGCAAGTCGTGGCCATTTTCTTATTATTAAACAAATCAAACCTAATTCCCAGGAAAGTAAGGTGTGTAGATATAAAATAAATTCACGTTCTTCAATTTTCAAAATAAAGATGATCATTAACAAATATATAGCTTATCTTTTCCTCGACCAGGCCTACAGAGGAAGCAGTGGCGAGAACAGTTGTTCCTCAGAAGCAAATACACCAAAATTATAATGGACAAAATCTTCAAGCCACCAAAACTTGTGAGGGAAGGAGGATGAAAGCAAGCAAGAGAAATTGCCAAGTGGCAATCAAACAAGATCGTAGGAAGGCTTTCAGGCTAATCAGAAGTAACTTCTGGAATATGGTCTATGATCAGCACAAACAGCCCCATTGCTTATACTGACCAGCACCCGCCCAGAATTGCAGAATAAACTTTTAAATTTAAAAAAAAAAATGACAACAGAGAACATCCCATCGTAAATATTGTATTTCTCTCACTCACATACAATGTTGTATGAGACGTTTACTACTCGTATATGCATCCATAGGATTAATACTCGTATGGAGTATAACGTGGGAAAGTGCGGAGCTAGAGAAATAAGTCTATCTGAAAACAAAAGCACACACTTCTTAGGATTTAAAAATATTGCACGTAATAAGGTTGCGTAGAAATTACTGGCTGTTTTTGACAAACAGAATGAGGTATTAGTCAAATTCTAGATGAAGATGAGTGCAGGGGAGGAACCACACACAAAAAAATACGTAAATCCATAGTAAGACAGACAGAGCCAACAATTAAGAAAGAAATGTGAAAAATATGTAAAGCAGCTCTGATTCCAACATTAGAAAATCATCAGCCAGGGGCCAAACATGTAACAATCTCTTGGCAATATTTCAAAAGTTTTCAACTTTCCTTTAGCCTAAATGACTATGAGCAATACAGGCATTTCCTTTAGTCCAATTTGACTACAGAAAGGCACGGCTCTGGGATAGACATGAAGCCACGCCTTTCTGCAGCTGTCAGTGGAAATGTACCAAGGTGCCGCTGCCTGCTGCTGAATGACACATTACGTACAGTTCCACGTACCCGCAGCAACCCACATCAGCGAGGCTGCAGACCATGCAATTGTAAGTTAGCCAAGGTTTCACTGCAAAAAATCACTTCCGTTCACACAATTTAAACCAGACTTACAAGTTTAACCTTTAAATATGTTATCGGGCAAACTCATTCTTTTCTTGGTAATAAAACTGGCCACATTAATAAGCCCAGGGGCAGGTGGAGAAAAATACCAGGCAGAATTAGGTTTTTTTCAAGAACCTTTCTTAGTCGGGGAAATTAATAATTAGCTATTTCTCTACTAACTGAATGTTAATTTGTCAAAAACAATTTAAATATAGTTAACAGCTATATCAACTGAAATCATGCACTTGTCAAAGGGTTCACAGAAAATTGCTTTGCGTCAGAGAGACTGAAGAGCAGTCGACCCGTCGGGCCTAGTGAGAGCAGGGAGAGGCGGCACTACTGCCCCGAGCAGTCTGTGTACGTCGTGACCATGTTCCCCCTGCGCTGAGTGACAGTCCTGCAGTGCTTGCTGGATCCATGGAACCTGTTTTCAGTCTGTACCGTGTGCCGACTGGTGGTGTCAAAGCCACTGAACGAAAACATTTTCTCCATGTCTTCGAACATGTCATCAAAGAGTCCACCTCCAAAAGAAAACTCTTGGAAATGATGCCTCTGTCTGCTGGAACCATCCTGGCGTGCCTGGAAGTGGTTTTCAAAATGCTTCTTGGACTGGGTGTTTTGGTTTTGACCAAAAAAACCAAAGTCTTTGAAGAGGTCATCAAAGTTGAAGTTAAACGACTGCTCGAAAGGACTTCCACTACCTCTGGGTCCTTTACCATCAGTGAAAGCACTGTGTCCCAGAGTGTCATACTCCCTCCGCCTGTTAGCATCTGAGAGCGTTTCATATGCTGAAAGAAATAAAAACACTTCAGTAACCGGAGGTAATCAAAATTACATTGTCCAAACCTCTTCAAGTAATTCAACTTGCTATTTTAGAGGACTTCATATTTTAAGTAAAACTGAAACATACAAAATAAGAGGAAAGTGAAAATGAAAGTTACAGAAGGCAGGGACTTAGTCCTAATCGCTGCACACCACCAGCAGCCAGCGCAATGCCTGCCCTAGTGTAGTACCCAATACAAGTATTTGTTACATGAGTGCTGCCACTACAAATACGCATGTGCAACAATTACAGAGATGTTCTTCATACTGTTTGTGTAAAATAATGCCTTGTATTAAAGAACTGGATAGTCAACTATAATGAATTAAGAGGAAATAACAGTATTTTCCACTCTTCCTAGTTGAAGTAAATGTTTAACTTCAACTCCTAGTCACTTAACCCCACCCACCGTTAATTATTGAATGCTCAGGAGATACAGTTGGTTTAGAAATAGTCTTAAGTCAGCCCTGGCTGGCATAGCTCAGTGGATTGAGCACGGGCTGCGAACCAAAGTGTCACAGGTTCGATTCCCAGTCAGGGCATATGCCTGGGTTGCAGGCCATGACCCCCAGCAACGGCACATTGATGTTTCTCTCTCTCTCTCTCCCTTCCCTCTCTAAGAATAAATAAATAAAATATTTAAGAAAAAAAAAAAGAAATAGTCTTAAGTCAAAATCTGTTTCATACTTTTCCTTTAAAGACAAACGTGGTTTTATAGTGTAGATCAAGTGATGAAGGAAAAAAGGCATCTCAATCTATTTAAATTTTTCTATACTTAGTATATTTATATTTAATCTCCATATTTAACACTGTTTCACAAGTTAGTTTATAAGTTTTGAGTACCAAGAATTCCTTTTGACATAGAAACAAGCAATTTTACAAATAATGAATTTCTCAGAATTTTAAGATCTGTAGGCCAATGAAAGAAACACACCACCATTCATCTGTCCATTCAAGAGTCACTTGTTTTGAGAAAACAGCCTCAAGAACGTCACTCCGTGGAAACGCAGCTCCCCTCGCCCCCCCACCTCCAGACCTCAAACCGGCGCGGGCAGGAGCGCATGCGGGCTTGCGGGCTCGCGGGCTCCCGGGCTCTCTGGCCCCGCACTGGGCACCACCTGCCGGACCACCTCCGGGGGCACCACCTGCGGGACCACCGCCGCACAGCCGCCGGCTCACCTTCCGCGATCTCTCGGAACTTCGCTTCCGCGTCAGGGCTCTTGTTTTTGTCCGGGTGGTACTTCATGGCCAACTTGTGAAAGGCCTTCTTGATTTGGCGCTCTGATGCCGACTTTGGCAAACCCAAGATATCATAGTAACTTTTTGAGGCCAAAATCAATTCCGTTATCATTAAAATGCAGATTGCAAAGGTGAAAACTGACTGGGGAGTAGCCATTTCTAATATCCTAAAAGAGAAATGGAAAAAAAAATTACCCATAGAGTTAATTTTAAGACTTTTACTCTCAAAAGAAACCCAATGAACTTTTAGAAAGCCAGGTACCTGCCCCCACGTTGTTTAACTTTGCACGGGCTCTATTCCCCCTAAATTGGGTGTAACTCTCAAGAGCAAATATAACTCAACAAAACGGAGAAAAACGATGTGGCTGCCTTTCCAGTTCGACTCTGGCCACATACAGAGAACCCACGAAAATACTGTTTTACCAGTTACTACTGAAGACTCTTCCTATGCAAGCACTGTTAAAAAAGAATGGAAAACCCAAATAATATTTTAAAGGATCTCAATCCTCAAGACTCCGTACTCTAACGGAATTAAAACAGTAGTTGAACGTCGCCGGAAAAGAAAAGTGCATTTCCAGGGTGAGAGCTCCATGTGTCCCAGTCAGCAGCGATCTCCCCTCCCCACGAAGGCTGCGCCTGCGCCTGCAGCCCTCATGCCCCTAAACTGGGCATCTCCACGCCGCGGCCAGTAACACCCACCACGCAGCAAGAGAACGAAACCGTTCTCTAAGCTCGAAGGTCCCAAATATTCGACAAAAAGCACGGGGAAACAAGTCAGGCCGAAAACTCCCAAGGGAGACCATTTAAGATCCCTGCTCAGTCTGCTGGCAACTTCTCAGTCGCCACTAAAATACGTCTCTACCCTTCGAGAAGATTGAACTTAAACTCCTCGCTCCTTCGGGCGTAAGGCCTGGGTCGGAGGTGAAAGGAGGGCGCCGGCTCCCCGCCCGCCGCGCCCAGGAGCCCTTCACAACCACCTCTGATGACACAACAAGGCTGACGAAAGGCAGCGGGGTTTGGGGAAATGCCAGCCTCCCCCTCCCGCGGCCTCCGCTGCGCCTAATTAGCAGGTGGATCACTTCTTCCCAGACTGAGTCACGGTCACGGGTCCCGGGGATCAAGTGCAAACTCCGGGTCTAAAGACCAAGCCGCCGAGCGCGTGGACGCGGCCGGCCCCGCCGGCGGTGGTGGTGGTTCCCAGGCAAAGGGCGGGGCCCCGCCTGGCGGGAGGCTCCTTGCCGGGGTAATAAAATAAAGGTTACTCCTCCCCAGCTCCAGGTCGAGTACCCGACACTCGTGCAGCAGACTGCCTGTGGCGACGCAGTGACTTCTCATCCCTAACAGGGACCCGCCCGAGGGCAGCCTGGGCCCGGCTCCCCAGAGCGGGTGGCCCCTGGGCTGGACACCGCAGCCTCCACCCAAAGCCACCCACAGACGCCCCGCCCGCCCGCCGGTCTGTCCATCTCGGCGTCGCCGCCGGGGCTGACCGCGGCCCGGGTCCCTTCCTGGGGGCGAGGGGCTGTCCGACGCCCGAGAAAGCCAGCGGCACGACCCCAAACGGGGCACGCAGTACTCAGCGGTTCCGCCGTCTCCTAATAACCTTCCTCGAGAACGCTGCACAGCCTTAAGCCCTTGGGCCACCGCGGGGGACAAGAAGGCCAAGACAGCCCAGAATGGCCGCCCAAGGTCCCGGGATGCTCTAAACCCCGCTCCCCGCGACCCCGGCCTCGTCCCTCACCCGCACCCTCCGGCGGCTGCTGCTGCTGCTGCTACGACCGGCTACGCACAGCCGCTCCGGCCCGGCCCCTGACCCCGGCCTCCGTGGCTTCTAAGAGCCGGCGTGCGCCCCGCGGCCGCTGGGACACCGACCTCGCCCGCCTCCAGCCGCCGCCGCCGCCGCCGCGTCCCCACTCAGCCGGCTCCCACTGGCGAGCGGCCGCGCGGGCGCCTCCACCTCCCCAGCAGACCTACACGAAACGCTCCCCTATTGGCTGCCGCCCCCTCACGTGACGCTGGCGCCCTACGCGCACGTGGAAAACTGTTGTGGCGGGTCAGCCTACACGTCACTTCCTTCCCCAGCTGTCCCTTTCCACGACGGGGCAGTTCGGACGCCCGCAGAAGCGGAAGTGGCTCCACGGAGGCCGCGTCCTCCTCCAGCCCGTCGCGCGCAGGCGCGGTGGCGCGGCGGCCCAGCCCTGCGGCCCCGCCCCAGCGAGGAGGGCCCACCTCCGTCCCTAGTAGGCCTGGGTCTCCCGGGCGCGCACCGGAGCGATGCCTCGCTATTGCGCAGCTATTTGCTGCAAGAACCGCCGGGGACGCAACAATAAGGACCGGAGGTTGAGTTTTTACCCGTGAGTTGTCAGCCTGGCTTTTGGACCGCGCTGTTAAGGCGTTTAGGGCCGGGGTTCGGGGTTTCTAGGGGCGCAGGGTGTCCCCGCGGGAGTGGGGCGTGAAGGCTTGAGCTCCGCCCCCCTGGGAATGCCCGCACTGAGCCTGGACGCCGGCCCGCAGGCGAGGATGGGCCTGTTCAGGTGGGATAGTGCCCTTGAAACCGTAAAGTCTGCGTGGCGCCCTGAGGTTTCCAGAGCGGTTCCCCGCCTCACCTGACCTCATTGCATCGACATCACCCCTGCCAAATGGGAGGGTGCACTCAAGTTCATGTACACACTCTGTGAGTTAGGTAGCAAGGAGGCTATTTAATTTAATCCCCCCCCCCGAGGCGACGGAGGCTTTTCATAAAGGAGGCAACTGATCCCGAAGGTGTGGCAGAGCCACGGGAGGACCTGCCTGCTGCCCAGAGCTCTAGATCCTAGGCCTCGATCGTGCGGAGAACAGGCTGTTACTCCCAGTACTAGTGCCACGAAATGTTCTGCGAAACCGCGGGAGTAGTCCTCACTTTAATCAGGAGAACGGGAAAGCAGTAGCGTGTCCTAATGGACAGAATCCAGACCTTTCGGGTCCAAGTCCCGGCTCCACTACATTGTAGCTGAATGACCTGCAAATTATTTAAACTCGCTGTGCTTATGATCCCTCATCTGTAAAGGAATTATTGGAGGTGTTAATAGTACCTAACGCACGATGAACGAGTAAAGAGAGAAACTGGCACTCAGCCTGTGCTTAAATGAAAATCAACGTATTTACAATATTCCCTTTCCTTTTTGTTCTTGTATTTAAACATAATTCATTTAACCCTAACCTGGCTGTCTCTTAACTTTCTTCGATTTTTCACTACTTATTTTGTGAAGCCTGTTTTACTTTGGTTCTGAAGCTCCCTGCTCCCTACTGACAAAGCGTAAACCACGTCTGGGATTAGGGGAATGTATAACCCTGCTTTCTGCATGAGAAACCTTATGTTGTTACTATTTTCCAAAAATAGATCACCATGTGTGTTCTTGTAAAATCACTGAAAGAAAAATAAGTTGCTGTTAACTGTGTAATACAGTGTAACCCAAACCTATTTAGACTGGAAGGAAAAAGTTTTCTGTAAAATTCTGCCATTACTCTGGTTTTGCCTATAAAAACCATTGCAGTCCCTTTGAGCCAACTCTAAGTCAAGGTCATTGTTAGTACACGTGTCAAGAGCTGTCTTGCCTTTCTGTCCTTTCTGTTTCATTTGTTTCATATCATAAAATATTTGAGTCTGTCCTTGGTTTAAGGACGTGCTTTGTTCTTGTGTCAGCTTCTCTTTAAGAACTTGAATTTTAGAGTTCATCTGTAGTACTAGTATGAAGTACATTTCAGTAGGACTTCGCAGTTTATACAGAGCTCTTTCCTAGCTCTAGGCCAACTGCACAACAAAATAAAAAATAGAACGTAATCCACAGAAAATATGGATACATTTTAGTTTTGTTGGAAGACATACATACTACGTGGAGGGGCTCTGAGCTATGTTTTACCAGCCGTTCTGCTCTGACAAAGCTCCGGCTGCACACTTCCACCTTAGGCGTCTTCCCCACGGAGGTGATGGGATGTAATTGTCAAGAAGATGCTCTTATGGGTGGAGATGGTTGCTTTGCTTCCCAGCACTTGGTACGTAGAGTACCTGTGTACGCCGGCCTGGAGCCTGACCAATGGTAAAAATACAGAAAAGTATTCCCTTTTTAATTTCAGGTTTCCCCTACATGACAAAGAAAGGCTTGAAAAATGGTTAAAGAATATGAAACGTGATTCTTGGATGCCCAGTAAATACCAGTTCCTGTGCAGTGACCATTTCACTCCTGACTCTCTTGACATCAGATGGGGAATTCGATACTTGAAGCACACTGCGGTTCCAACAATATTTTCTTTGCCTGGAGACAATCAGGTACTGGAGACAGGGCATGGGGTGGGGGTGGGGGGTCATGCTGAGCAGGGCGGTAGGTTGTAGGGTGGCAGGGAATCTGGAGTAAGGACTGAGAGGGAAGGATAGCTGGGGAAACGCACACTTGAGAAAAAGGAAAACTAATTTATGCTTTTACTGAAAGTGTGCTGACTTTTTACATCTTTAAGCTATCGTTAAAGCATAGCTTAAGAGGAACAAAAAAATAACATAAATCATTAAGTTATCATAAGTAAATGATCTAAGATTTTTTTACTGGTTTTTAGAATGATCTGAAATGTTGCCATTATATATCGATGATGCTTAATGCTTTTCAAAAACACTTTAAATTCTCTTTGAGTTATATAGTTAGAACACTTCTTTAATTCAATAAACTTGCTTGATCAATATGCATCTTAAAGTATTCGGCACTGACTCAGAAGAAAGTAAGCCTAATAAGGACATCTGCTTTAGAATTTGAAAATATTATTTTCTAGGAAGAAGACCCTTCCAGAAACAACTGTCCGAAGAAACAAACAGGTGACGAGAAAGAAGTGTGCCTGAAAGCCAAGTCACAAAAGTCTTCTGTGTCACAAGAGCTGGAGACAAATACAGCGAACCCAGCCGTCCTCCCCGAGCAAGCCCAGCCCCCCGCCCCCTCTGCCCTGGCCAGGCCCCGGGCTCCAAACACAGGGAGTATGCAGAATAACATAGTCATTCTCACTCTCGTTAATCAAGATACGGGAAAACCTGAATCGACCTTGGAAACGTCAGTTAACCAAGGCATAGGTGTGGGTGGGTTTCACACATCTTTTGAGAATCTAAATTCTACAGCTGTTACTTTGACAACCTCAAATTCAGAAGGTATTCGGCAATCTCTGGAAACCCAAGAAGTGTTTGAAATAACTACCAGTCATCTTGCCAATCCAAACGTCACAAATAATTCCATAGAAATTAAGACAGCACAGGAAAATCCATTCTTACTCAGCACAATTACTCAGACAGTTGAAGAATTAAACACAAACGAGGAATCTGTTATTGCCATTTTTGTACCCACAGAGAATTCCAAACCTACAATTAATTCTTTTATACCTGCGCAGACAGAAGCCGTGGACCCGGAGGACGTAGGCACTGACGATTCCTTATATAAGGACGTAGACTATGAGACAGAAGTTCTACAGATTGAACACTCTTACTGTAGACAGGATACAAATAAGGAACATCTTTGGCAGAAAGTCTCCAAACTACATTCAAAGATAACTCTTCTTGAGCTACAAGAGCAACAAACTCTAGGGAGACTGAAGTCTTTGGAAGCTCTCATAAGGCAGCTGAAACAGGAGAACTGGCTCTCGGAAGAAAATGTCAAGATTATAGAAAACCACTTCACAACATACGAGGTTACTATGATGTAGAAAGGTCTCAAAGCTATGGCTTTTCTGTAAGCACTTTGCAGCCAAACCAAATTATATGTAAAGCGAACTTTCTCCTGCATGAAGTTCTCGTCTTCATGAAGCTAGGAGAGCGCTCTCATGTTGTGAGCTGCACTCTGTTCTTGAACTCCTCAATTTTGGGGGAAAGCTAGAGCGTTGTTGGGCTGTAGATACAAAGTTTTATTACTTGGCAATTTAAAGTATAATGAGTAGGTAAGAGGATTTTGTCATAAAAGGAGAGAGTACAGGTATGGTAAGAAGGGCCCACAGTAAGTCAGGCTCAGGAATAATGCTGGTTCTACCATTGGCGTGTGACTAAGGCAAGTTGCTTGTCAAGGTTAAGCCTCAGTCTCTTAATCTATAAAGTCAGAGCACTTCACTAGATCTTAAAAGCAGTGTGTTTACAATCCCTTCCCTTTCTAGTCACATGTTTTTAATAGAACAACTTTTCTCCAAGGTGATCTGTAGGGACATAATACTGGGTATTGGCTAGAATTTGATTTTATTAGCTATTGAATTATCCTTGATATTTATTGAATTGTGTGGTGTTTGACCTTTTGGCTAAAGTCATTCATAATAACGAAGGAAAATACTCCTTTTGTAATTTTATTCCAGTTGAACTAAAGCGATTCATCCATTAGCCTAGTTCCTAAGAGAGGTACTTTACACTTGAAAGAATATGTATTTCAGTACCTCATGTGTGGCTGACTGTCATAAAGATACATAGTCATTTAAGCTTCTTAATACTGTATATATAAGATTATAATTTATAAACCAAAAGTTTTAATGAGGTTAATTTTTTAAATATATTACTATATTTTAGAAAACATCCTTTGTATCTAATATGTGTAGCTTTTTAAAATGTGTGCATGTGTCATTTTTAAATCCAGAATGATAGAGTAATACTTAATACTGTACATTCCCACTTAAGTATATTTTATTAAAATTTATATTCAGCAAATTATAGATATGTAATGATGACCTTCAACAAATAGGAAAAAGAAGTGACAGCGATGTAAATAATACTGTGTATAGCCATATGAATTTAAGAAAAAACATACAAGCAAAGCCTTAGTGATGACAACAGAAATGCGAAAAATAGATGATCAGTTAAAATTGGAAGTTAATGTAATTAAATATGTTACTGTTTATGGTATTGAGCAAGTTCCTATCAATCTGATTCTTCGTTTTCTTTTATATGAAAAATGCTATTTATCTTGAGGGATGATTTTGATATCTGCAAGGTGACAGTTATGTTTTTAGTCCTGGAAGATGGGAGGAGCAGCTCAGTAAATATTAGTTGACTGCACAGCAAATAGTACACTAACAGTAAATGCATGGTGCTTATTTCTGGCTACGTTTCGCTTAGTGTTTTCAGGCTAATAAAATTAATTGGCATTATATGAATATAAGTCAGTTAATTACCAAAATTGATTAGAGGTGTCCTTATTGGGGGACCCTGTGGGGTGGGGGATAAGCTTAATATTTTACGTAAATTATGATCATTGGTAGAGTTAATATGTTATCTTTAAGTATTTCCATGTTGCATTTCGCTAATACTTTAAAACTAGCGCAGATGAAGATGGCCTTTATCAGTTATTAAAAGTGTTGCAACTCAGTTTTTAACTGTATACCTTGTCGTTATTGTCTCTTTGTTTAAAGTTATTTAACTCGTCTTAGTTCTTTGAACTGAATAAATGAGAAATATGTACAATTTTTTCTTGGCCTGTCTGCGTTCAGTTGTGGATGTTCTCAGGTAACCTTTAGGTATTTTGGAGGGTCCTAGCAGCCTCTTTACTCGGATTCCTCCAGGCGCGTCTTCGCTGGCCTCGCCTGCGTTTTCAGTGCCTCCTTCCGGTCACTCTGCACACCGCTGGCGGCCGATGGCCCGAACTGTCGGTCTAACTGCGTCACACACACCCACCCGCCCACCACGCACCTTCCCCAGCTCCGACGCGGTGCTCTCTCCCCGGGGCCTTCCAACCAGAGCCATACTGGACACCCTCGCATATGCGACCCTCCGGGGTCCTCCTCGGCCACAGGGCGACCCCGGACTCCTTAGCATTTCCCTCACGTGCCAGACGGGCGTCTGTCTCCTTGACTGCTGCTGTCGTTGCCTATGCTTAAGCAGTGTCCAAATTAAAACTATTTTGACTTGGATCGAATTGCATCCCTTGTGTGCCAGTCAGAATTGTTTTCTCCCTGCTCCTGCTCCAACACCATTCACCCTACACGTTCTTCACACCCTGCCTGCAGTGCTCACTGGGTTGCAAGCTTTTTGCAAGTAGAGTTTTCATTAATGACTTTTGTTTCGTTGGCAATGTAACATTTACTCAATCAATGTTTGCATGAACATTTGAATTTGCCTCCTTAGAATTCTTGGTTCTTGTCCCTTAAAATCAAGAACCTCCTTAGGTACATTTGCATAGAATCTTTTAAACATTCCATGTTTGCCACAGACAGGAAAACGTGCCAGACACCCGCTGTGCCGCCTGTTGATTCCTGCTGTGGAGGCTGCCCCGGCCCCGGCTGTGGCTGTGTATTTCCTCCCCCGCCCCCCATCTTAGATGATTCCAGAAGGAAGGACGTCCAGGAAAGCTGTATACATTTATGACTCCTTGTCAGGGAGATAGTCAGATTTACACGGATTTGACCACTGTACGTAACACACAGTGCTGATGTAAACACCAAGCAGGACTTTTCCGCAGAACTCATCTAGAATAAAAAGCCACGTATTGAGAGTTGGAGTATTCGCGTGCAGATGAATTCTATTTCTAACTAAATTGAACAGCTCTGCCAACTAACTCGGTGTTCGGATACAATTTTTTTTTTTACTCTTTAGATCATGTTAGGTAATATTTTTGTGGGCAAGGCAAAAGTCCTGATTCACAATTGTTGGGAGAAAAGCTGTAGAAAAAAGGGGTGAGAGATGTACCTATGCAAGAGAAGTTCCTTCAAGAAAGGGTCTTTCTTTCCTTTTTCATCCTGACCTCCCATCAAACCCTCTGACCTCTTAGTTACCTCTCTCCAGTGGACTTTTCCCTCATCTCTCCTTTGCCACCTTGCTCCCATGGTCAGTGGTGGGCCGTCGTCACCACCAGTATCTGCAGCCCCTTGAATGGTGGCAACAGCAAGCACCTCTCCTGATTCCCACCTGTTCCTCAGCAGGTGTTGAAACAACTCCCACCACAGCCACTCACTTCTCCACCATCCATCACCTCTGCAGCAGGTCGTGTCCTCCAAATGTGGCCATAGAACCCATCTGCTCCCCGATTCTCTCCTCGAGTGGGATCCAGCCACTTACTCCCTTACCAGGTTTGTCTGTGTTTCCGAATCAGGGGGGTTGGATGCCTGCTTTGACCAGTAGAATACAGTGAAAGTGACGTTGCCAGTTCCAGACTCAGCCCTCAACTGGCCAGGCAGCTTCCGCTTCCTCTTTGCAACGCCCCCCCTTAGAATGCCGGGTGCCCGTACCATGGCTGACGTCCCTGCGGCCCCGCTGGGGAAGCCAAGATAACACAGAGAGGCTCAGTGAGTAAGGCCTCAGTCATGTGAGTGAAGAAGCCAGCAAGCAATCTGATGTTCACAGAACCCCAGAGACTCAGGAACTGAAGTCAAAGGTACCTCTGGGGTTGGAACAGGGGTCTGAAGACGTGCTAAAAAAAAAAAAAGCAAATTGATTCAAGTTTATTAAGAAGGAATAGGAACTAGAGAGTATTATGCTAAGTGAAATAAGCCAGGTGCTAAAAGACAAATACCATATGATTTCACGTATAAATGGAAACTAATCAACAAAAGAAACAAGCAAGCAAAATAGAACCAGAGACGTGGAAATAAAGAACAAACTGGCAGCGACCAGAGGGGAGGGTGTAGGGGCATAATGGGGAAAGGAAGGGGGGGGGTCAAATCAAGGAACATGTACAAAGGACCCATGGACAATGACCAATGTGGGGGTTGGGGAATGAATCTGGGGGTTGACGGGTGGGCAGGGCACAAGAGAGCAACGGGGGGGAAATGGGGACAACTCATTGAACCATGATAAAAAATTTTTAAAAAAGAATACCCCTTAAAATGAAATAAAAATAAAACTGTAACCCCCCCAAGAAAGAAGTAGCAGTGGCCACCCCACACAGCTTGGCAGGTACCCCATCCCTCAGCCGGGCAAACGGGGCACTTTAGTTTCTGGAGGGGACAGAGGGTCTGGAACAGACAAAGCCCGGGCACAGACGCCCCACTAAACAGAGGTATTCAGTGAGCATTTATAAGCCGATCGGTAAGTCCCCCTGCCCCTCCTACCCCAGCCTGTGTCACAGACGCGGTCACCAGAACACGCAACCAAGCTTCTGTCCTTCGGCTTGCTCTTGGGAAAATGACAAAGCCCAAGAGAGAAAGAACAAGGTCTCCCACCGGGAGTCCTCATCGGGTCCAGCCAAGTCACCCTGCCGCAGTGACCCTCAGCCCTCACTGGGCCCCCAAATCCCCCGGGACACGTAAGCACTACCTTCGCCTGGGCTCCACTCCCAGGTCTGGTGTAAAACCTGGGCATCTGTATTTTTGAAAATGTCCCCGATGATTTTCATGCACAGCAAGAGTATTGCTGTACAGGGAAGCTGCGGACAAGGTGCGCCCCCAAGTGCAAAGCCTCCCACCAGCGTTTCCGTGTCCTGCCGGCTGGCAGCCAGTAGGCAGTTGGGAACGCAGTCAACGTGAAAGAGACCAGAGTTAGAGGGAAAACGGCAATTTGGAGAAAACAGGTTATGTCGGCAGAGGAAAATCTAGGGGAAACAACTCGACTAGGTATTTCCTGTAGTTACCGGGGTAAGGTACATTGACTGCATCCCTGAAAACAAGAACGGAATAACCTTTTAAAAAAAAAAAAAAAAAGAAGCCTTATGAAGACAAAAACAGGCCTAGTCATTTAAAGTGTGGAATTACAAATAAAAAGTTAATAGGAATCGGAAGCTTAAAGTTGAGACATTCGAACATACCAAGATATCAAACGATGATGCCTCCGTGCACAAACGTTAAAGCGAGCAAACGGAGCGCGAAGTTGTGGGAGGTACGGGTCAACACAGAAGGAGCCAGCATACACCCGCGCGAGGGGCTGGCTCCGGGGAGCGGGAAATGGGGGTGGCGCGCGCGGTGTCTCCGTAAGGAGGCCCGCGGACTTCGTGAGCACGCCGTTGTGGCTCGTTCCTACTCCTCCTTCGGGCCTGACCTCCCCATCACTTTATCTTGTGAGCATTAGTTACCCTTCCACGTGCCCTTCTGACTTAACTCCCATCATCCTGTTCACTCAGTATCATTATCGCTCCTTTACTGTTTGCATGCCCCCAACATGAGTTTTCAGCCCCTGAAAGTGTACGCTTCTAAGCTTCGCTGCCCAGCACAACTCCTCGTGCAGGGTAGGAGCCCCGTGAATGTTTGTCAGGAGAACAACTTGACGCCCACTGAACCGTATTTCAGGTACTGTTTTTGCTGAGTCTAATTCTGGTTTCACACAGGGACAGCCACCGGATAAATTAACCGACTGGCAGCTCGGTGAGTGCATTATCGCGCCATTATTCAGGCAGGCCTGCTCAAGCATTAACTGGAAGCGCAAGGTACACAATGCTGGCACGCTATAAGCAGCATTCAGTTAAGGTGAAGTGCGTTCCTTCTAGACTAGAGTTCCGTCCCTTGGAACCTGGAATGTGGGGGGCTCCCAGAAGGGTCCTTGACTCTCCTAAAACCGAATGCAAACTTTTGTGTGCATAAGCATTTTTCTGGAGAGAGAACCCATAATTTCTATGACATCCAACTGCTCAGGGCAAGAATACCTTATAGTTTACAGTTGCCATTCTCAGAAAATCATAAACCTCTTTACATCTTGTCCTGCGAAAACCCAGGAACACAGAGATGGGAAAGTTATTACTCTAGACTTGAATATACAGACTCTCACACACACTCACACACACTCACACACACACACACACACACACACACGCACCCTACCAATCCAGCTCTGTAGTTTTAATTACCTGGCAGTAGGACACTAAACCTAGTAGACAAAGTGGCCCATATCCATAAAAGGGCTGGGTAAATTCCACGCAGAATTCTGACAAGTTTCAGACACGTGTTCTTTCACGTTTCCCAGAAAATAAATTTTAATGCTCCAAGTCCTATGTAGAGTGTCAGAAAAAATAAACTGAGAGATGAAGCAGTATTTCTAATAACTGGAAAATGCTGTTGAAGATCAAGGCCCCCGATGTTTGGTTGCAGAAATGGAATTCAGAATGCAAAGCAGTGAAGCAGGGGCCGATGTCAGAGCAAGCCTCGTCTTGCACTGTTTTCCGGGCACGGTTCAGGTTTTCCATGAATAACAAAGCACAGTGTCTGAATACGTACGACAGGCTAGAATATCATGTGTGTGGAATGAGGCTAATTTTACTGAGCTTGCCAACTTGCGTAGCCCCGCCTGTCTGGAAGTGAGTTCTCTGACATGAGACAAGTGAGTTTCTACACCACAGGTGACACGGAAGTCAGCCAGTTCAGCTGTGTGGCGTCAAAATACAAGGTGTTTCTGGAGGAGTGGGGAGGGAAGGGCAAAGGGCATCATTCAGATTTTTCATTTTTTAAGCATATTTTATTGATTATGCTATTATAGTTTTCCTGACTTTTTTCTCCCTTCCATCCCCTCTCCTCCCTACACGCACCCCCCCATCCTCCAGCATCC